TACTCATCAAATGCCAGACTCCTTTTTTTCCTGGCTTCTACAGTAAGAACAAATCATGCTGGTGTTGTCGATGAATTTGTGGACCAGGTAACAACAATACAGAGTAAAATGTATTCAAATCACTTCTGTTGCAGCTATAATTTTCTTTACACAAGCTGAGCCGCTTATTGACAGTTATATTCACACATCAATGCAAACGGGGCTCAGAGAGCTAACCCAATCCCTTTTGACCGTGGTTGCTTAAAAACATCTTAATGAGGGGCTGCTTATCTTGTTGGGTGGATCAATGCTAATGCAGTTTACAGCTGGTCAGAGCTCAGAAAGAGCAGGATCAGCTGCTGTGATCTATAGGCTGAATGTTAATTCACATCGAATAGATGAAAATAGAGACACTTTGAAGGTCTTATTGTCAGGTCAAGAAGCGCTTTCATACGCAGGTCTGACACAACAACCATATGATTAATACTGCCTTTATCTCAAAGTTAATGCCTCACTGTGGTGTCGAGGTTGGTCACAAATAGAAGAAAGTACTCAGGGTTAATAGCACTAATGTAAAATACTGCAATTTCCTGCATTTAGATGCAAAGCTCCTGAATGTTCAAGCAAAAATTTTACGATTTTTAATATTTCATTAATGACATTTAGGCTTAACTGTTCAATGATAATATTCTCAAGACAAACTTTTTTGGACAAGATATAGGGATCACTTTTTTTGGGGTATCCATTGCCCCCCTTTTGCTTGTCTGAGAAACCCTTCACCAATAATGGAGGCATTTATGCATTTTGTTCTTTGAGACAAAACTCTTTGGTTTTCAAACAGTTTTCACAGTTTTTATTAAAGAGAAATATACAAAACAACGTTTTTTGTTTTTTTTTAGAAAGCATTGATGTTGCATAAAATAGTTATAAAAAATTAAAATAAAAAAGTAAATTAAGTGATCCAAGTAGGTCCATCTATATCTGGATTATCTCGTTGGGTTTAAATTCCTTTAAATGTTTTAATACCTTTTTGTTCTTTTTTTCCAGACACCTGGGTCTAGACTTGGTGCCAAGGAAGGAGTTTGAGATGGTTGATGAAGACCAGATAAGTGTGTCAGACTTGTATAAAATGGTAAGTCAGTAATATTTGTAATTTTATTGTTACAGTGGATGCAGCAAACAAAATATTCTGCGAGTGGTCAAATTATTCAATAAAGAAAACAAAAAACTAGGAAAGTATTTCTCATTTCCTGAGACATGTGAACCTGTTATGGGTTCACATGTGAAGCCAAAGAACTGTGAGGATTGTGTGTAGAACTGCAGGTCAAGTATGAACAGATTAACACCGGTCCTGTTCCCCTCAAATATTAACAACATCTTTTAAGGTCTGATCATTAGAACAGGCGTTAATGCATCCAAAGTAGCTTGAGAGAACATGTGATGTACATTCCGAGTGGAAGTGGGCCACAGATGGCTGCATTAAGTTATAGCCATGCTTAGATACACTGGCTGGTCTCTAAGTCATACATTAATAACTGATATATTTTGGAATACTTTGAAGCAACACATTACAGTAGCTAACATTCTGTCACATCATATAGTCATGATTTTAACTTTTAAAGTATAAACTAATGGCTGCTACTAGATGTTAGTGTGCAGTATCTTTCCAATGATTTGCAGGTAGTTTTAGCTACCAAAAGATACAAAGATGATGTGTTTAAATGCAATTAATCAGCGAGCCATGAATCTCTCAAGTGAAAAATATTTTCTTCAAGAACTTTGATTCTCCTGACATGGTCCTTACATTTAGCCAAAACATGTTTTAATCCAACAAAACAGTTTTTCTCTCTTATAAATAATTTCATTACGCTTCCCCTCACAGTGCTTCAAAATAATTTTCATTTGCAGAGAAACTAAAATTATAATAGTTAGCTTGTCTGTTGAACTTTAGTTTTAAAATGGAAAGAAAGAAAAATGTAAGTCTTTCTGTGAACGATCAGGCCGATTTCTCCTGATAAAACTTTTAGTTTAATGAAATATGCATCATTGTAAAATTGTTTTGTTAGCTTCATATCTACAGATGATAGGAATGTTTTATACACACACACACACACACACACACACACACACACACACACACACACACACACAAGCTTGGTTGACGGAGGGCCTTAGTCCAGTTGCACGATGGATGTAAGTGGAAACATAATTTTTTAACATTAATGCTTTATTTACTGTATTCACACACTTTTTTTTATCATTTAAAACTGCATGTGTTTAAGTGTTAAATAATACAAGTTAGAAATTATATAATAAAAATTTACAAAGCAAGGAACTCGTTATTCAAATCTAAGCATGAAGAAAAATCCTGATTTACAATCTAGACTGAAATTAAACATTATTCAGCCTGTTTTCGAAAGCCAAAAGGCAAAGGTTTCAACTACAATGATATGACCTCTATAGAATAATATAATCCCTATAAAAAAAAAAAAAAAAAAAAACTATACCACCCGAGTAATGTACACTGAACCTCTACCTGAAAGTAAGTTTATATTGGTGGTTCCTGCTCGACTGTCTTGCTTCTCTTTCTCCTTTTACCATCTTCTTCTCATTGTCCTCTGTCATTTTTCTTTTCCTCCTCCTTTCTCTCCTCCTCATTCCTCATACTGGCATCATCCTTTCCCTCTGCATCAACTCCAGTAACCATGACTGACACTCCCCCCTTCAGCCACTTATAACAGTAACAGCAACAATAATAAAGATTATAGAATTAGTCCTGAAAGATTTTGCCTAAAATTTTAATTGCAATTATTTTTAACCAATATTGTGATTTTATTAAATTTTTCCTTTTCAGTAACAAAAAGCATGTAGATTTTTCTCTTAAGGGTTTCAGTGTTTTTTCATTAACTTGAAACCTTGCTTGTCCAGAGTCCATTGTTGCAGGACTTTACGCTAAATTTGCTTAGGAAAGTGCTTACTTTTACTTGCATGCCTAGATCTGCATCCCAACTGGAAGTTTCTCTTATCCTCTTTGTGGCAGCAAACTCATTTTAAACCTATAACTGCTACCCAGCCCTTGATAGAATTTAGTGTTAGAACACAAATACTAGAGTAAAATAAGTTTATGGACTTTACTACCCCAACAAAAACAGTACCTAAAATACTCAACTTATTTGTATTTTTCTTGGCCTGGTAAAAGTAGATGTATATTAGTGTAGAAACAGAACAGGATAACTGTGTACATGTGTATCTTTTTTAACTTTAAATACATATTTTCTCTAGATTTTATGTCTTTAGATTTTAGGAATATATGTATTTTTTCTTTATTTTTAGGACTTTTTTGCTAACTTAAATAAAGTCACCTGTGTGCAAGCACATTTGAGCCTATGTGGTTAACAGAGTATAAAGCGTGCTTTGTTACTGGACAAAAATAGGGCATGATCTGATATGGCGTCAGTTAGGGTTGTTAATAAATGTAAAAACATTAACTGTGAACAGCTTTGATCACTACATGCCATGATCCTCTTGTAGAGTGGGGTTTTTCATTGGAGTGGAAGGGTTGCGCCATTGATAAATATCAGGAACACTACATCTTTACTAATCCATTTTTACATTTTCATAGTTTTTTAAATTAAATACATGCAAATGGATAAAGGAGCTGGCAAAAAAAAAAAAACCACATATGTTCCCTATTTGTTAAATAGTTGTTTTTAATTCCGCAGTTTGATCATGAGCATCAACAAAATTGTCTTCCTGTTATACTGTACATGTCGTTGTTACATAAACAATCCTCTCTGATTCATTGAAAACTTAGTTTTACAGTGAAACAAGAGAATACGTTAGCAGACGGGTGCTGGTTTCTCTCAGGGTGGAATAATTGGAGTTGTCTTGTCACTGATGGTCCTTACCCTCATTCATCAAACAGAGTTTGACTTATTGCTTCCTCTCTACTCAACGAACCACTTGACAAATTAAGGAGACAAGTTGGAGTAATGAGTCTCAGGGGTATTAAAATATTTTCATCATCTGAGGTTGCGGGTGGAGGGAAGAAAGAGAACCATGGCTGTAAAAAGGCAGATCAGGAAAAGAAAACTCAAAAGGAAATGAAGAGAAATGAGGAGAGAAGAAAAATGTCTAGTAGAGGAATTGAGAGGATAGATTCAGAAAAAAGGGAATTAAGAATACCCATGTTTAAATAAAAGAAAACGAGGAAGAGCTGACATTATACATGTGTGTTATGAAATAAAAGGCATTTAAAAGAAAAGGCTTAAAAGACTAAATTGAACAAGCAGAGAAATACCTAATGTTTCTGTCTCTTTTACAGCATCTGTCCAGCAGACACAGCGTCCAGCAGAGCTCCACTCAGGTAATGTTTCCATTACCGGCTCTGTGGAGCTTCATGTCTTTGATTCTGCTAATTTTGCTGAATTTCCCATTCATTCTTTGTTTTGTTAGATCCATTTATATGTTTGTCCTACCGAACACATGCAGCGCTAAGCCAAAACTAAGACTGCCCATCAACAGGAAGCCATACAGTTATTGTCATTTAGACACAGGTTTGTTTATATATAAAAGGAAGGAAGGAAGGAAGGAAGGAAGGAAG